GCTCTGGGTTTGATTCCAGGCATATCGTCTATAGCCACCACTGGTTGGGTTTCCAAAAAGCTGCTAGATGATACAACCTGGTTTTCAGAAAGTGAGGAGGACTTGAAGCACTTGCTGGCGACGATCAAGAACTGCAGCCTTCAGTGTGGATTACAACTCAAGTATGAAGAAGACCAAAATCCTCACAACTGGACCGATAGGTAACATCTTGATCAATGGAGAAAAGTTTAACATTGTCAAGATTTCATCTTGCTTGGATCCACAATCAATGCTCAGGGAAACAACAGTCAAGAATCAAAGACTATATTACATTGGGTCAATCTGCTGCACAAGATCTCATTGAAGTGTTGAAAAGCAAGGATGTAACTTTGAGAACTAAGATGGGCTTGACCCAAGCCGTGGTATTTTCAGTTGCCTCATATGCATGTAAATGAAGAAGACTGGGGAAGAATTGATGCATTTGAATCACGGTTGTGCTAGTCCAGGTAGACTAAAGAAACAAATCCATAATCACGCATATGTATATAAGACAGAGTTTTATATAAAGGGTAATTGTGCATTAGGAAAACTTCCTATCCTAGTCCAGATCAAGCCTATAAGTTCGATGTTAGCCCGTATGTCCGATACTAATCTATAAAGTCCCCTTCAGACTCACGAAACACATGCAATGATGCGGAGTGCAGGATGATCATAGGCCAGTGGGTAGAAAGTCTCTGGATACAGTGGCATTGCAAGCATCTCAGCGCTGGCAGGGGTCCCCTTGTGGCTTCTCCAGTTCCCAGGGCTGCATCATGATAGGTCCATGTGGAGTCTCCTCAGGGATGTCTTACAGGAAGTGAGCCTGGCCAGTAGAGAATCTCCATGGGAGTGAACCAAGAGAGAGTGTGTCTTCCACCTTCAAGAAGGAAAATCAGGATTTCCCAAAATCCTCAGGAGAAGGCCAGGCCCACACAGAGGCCTCATTGGCTATGATCCGATTGACAGACTAGACTTCACCCCTTCACCCGTAATCCTCAAATTGACAAATGGTTATATAACTACCACAACGGTGCTGGGAAAGCACCGTGGACTTTGAAAGGACCATGTACTGCCAAAAGAACAAGCAAATCTGCCTTATAGAAAGAACAGTCAGAATGCTTCTTTGAGGCAAGGACGGTGAGATGCTGTCTTATATATGTGGACATGTTGTCAGGAGAGACCCGTCCCTGGAGAAGGTAAAGTAGAGGCTAAGGTGGAGGGGCAAGGAAAAAGAGGAAGACCCTTGACAAGTGGCTACAAGAACGAGCTCAAGAACGACTACAATTGAGGATGGCACATGACGGGCAATGTCTCCTTCTGTTGTCCAGAGGGTCGTTATGAGTTGGAACCAATTCAAAGGCATCTGATAACAACATAGTTTGGCTGAAAGTAGCGCCAAGTGGTGAATTAAAGAGCTATGGGACAGCTGTGGATTATAATCTTGCGGGTTCCACCAATCTCTATCAGACCAATCAACTTTTTAAAAAAATTTGAGTTTGTTTGCTTTTTCCTACTCTATCCAGGATCTCCTATTATAATTTCTTTTAGAGGATTCAGTAGTGATAGGTGAGCACTTCCAGGTCTTTTGGCTCCAGGACAGTGGAGGCTGGGGTTTATGTGGTCCATTAGCCCTTTGGATTATTTGCTTCTATGTGTCTTTGATTTTTTTTCACTCTTCTTGGCCCCACGCTAGGGGGAGATGATGCCAATTGGCCTTGATTTTTCCTGAGGTTATGGTCCGGAACCTGCAGATGATTCCTGACCACAAAATGTTTGGCTATGGGTAGGAAGTTTCCACAACTCTGCTCCCTACATGAGCCATCATATTCATAGACAGATTTGCAAAACATGTAGATTCATTTGGAGAAATAGCCTCTATCAAAGAAAGGCTGACTCATGTTGTTGTTGTTAGGTGCCCTTGAATCTGTTCTGACCCCAGTGACCTTGTGCACAACAGAATGCAATTCTTCCCGTTCCCTGCCTCCCTCACAACCATTGTTATGCTTGAGCCCAGCTTTGCAACCACGCTGTCAGTTCATCTTGGGGAGAGTCTTCCTACTTTTCAACACCTTTCTTCTTTACCAAGCACTACATCCTTTTCCAGGCACTGGTCTCTTCTGGCTCATAGTGCCTCTTCATTGGGTTTCTGAGACAATAAATCTTTATGGGAGCAGCCTCATATTTTTCTCAAGGAGCAGCTGGTGGATTTGAACTGCCAGCCTCACAGTGAGCAGTTCAATGCCTAAACCTCAGCACTACCAGGGTTCCTCTTAAAAAGGACAAGAGCACCTTCATTGTTCATGTCAGTTTAAAAACTGAGGCAAAATCACACTTACGCCTCACACTGTGTCTCTCATGACATGGAAACTTTTGAAGCATGGCACTTGTACAACATCTCCTGATTAGTGTTTGTCTAATATTTTCTCACAGGTATTTTACAGCTACAGATTTTTGGTAAGAACATTCTAGAGGCGATGTGTTCTTTTCAGAGCCTCACATCTGGTAGTATACATTCCTGGATTCCTTGATCCTCTGGTGGTGGTGCTGTCTACCAGATACCTTTTTCAATTGCCTTATATGCATGTGAAAGTTGGACATTGAATCAG